CCATCGGTTTTTCACGAATAATTCGCGTAAAAAGCGGCCGATCGCGACGAAGCTTTCATTACTCTCGCATTAATCAATTTTACACCTACCCTTAAAATTTCATGACCCTGACCTAAATGACCTTTGACATGTGACCTACTTTTCGAGACCATGTTTGGACGGAATCGCGATTCGCGGTATGTCGGCTCGGATTAGGCGCGCGTGTGTAGTCTTTTTGTGGTTTCAAGCGTTCAAATATGTGATATGATGTTGGTCCGATGCATTAGGGTGGGTGTCAAGGTCACCTGAAGGTCAGGTCAGGTCATTGACCTTTGATGACCTTGGTTCACTTTTTCGAATTTTACATGTTCTAGGCTAGTTTTTAGAGCTGAATTGAAATTTAGCAACCACTTGAACATTTATCGAAGTATTTTTGGTGTGGCTTCGTAACATGTTACGAAGCTGTCAGAGGTAGTTGATACCTACTACGAATACCCGGCAGGACCCCTACTGGATGACCTGACCTGACCTGACCCGACCTGGCCTAAATGCATGAAGACATCATCTGTGATCAAAACTATTATGATATTCGTGATCAGCACCCCGAAAACCCCATAGCAGCCACTTTTTACGACGTTCTATCAAGTCCTGATTTTCCCGACTTTTGGGTCATTGACCTGACCTGGAAGGTCAACTCAACCAATCCAAAAGAGACACATTTCAATTTTTCTCCAATTGACATATAATGGAGAGGTCTTTCGCGAAATGCCTGAGGGGGGGGGGGGCGTAAAAACGCCCCCAGCACGGCGCGCTGGTTAAGATAGTATCGGTATCCGGCAAAATAAAAAGATTATATCTTCTTTTTTGGAAAATGCGCGACGTCAATCTGTTTGAGAAGCTGAGAAGTCTACCAGCGCCGCTCAGCCCGCCGGCCGGCCGCCGACCGGTGTGTTAGCGCGCCGTGCCGACCTACACCGGCCGATCCATGGCTCACCTGATCGGACGCCGGGTGTGCGTCTGTTTAGCCCCGCGGTCGGCGCCGGAATACCGTTCGGGGGCGTTCCGGGGGCTCGGCAGCCGCTCCCCCGCGATAGTGTCAGTCAGTTATCTCGCTGGGAGGAGGGCGACCGTGTATATGTCGGGTATTGGAGGCATTAGGGGCCCGCCACCGGCGATGGGAACGCGCGCCACTGACACTGACATGAGACGTCTGCTGTTTGGCCTTGAAAGGTCAGACGCACCTTTTATAGTGGGATATAATGTGATTTGCTGCCCGCATTGCTGGAGGTTATGGCTCAGATAGCTCCAATGCTTCGAGAGTCGCAAGAACTGACACTTGAATTAGTACCGGGTGCACGCATACTAAAATGACGCGCGGGAAATTGGTCGTGGTATAATAAACTGCCGAGCGATAGGAGGATATGGTCTGAGCGTGGGATGTATTTTATTTCATTAATTAATTCAGCAATCGAAATTGTAGGAATGAATATCTAAACCTTAGCCATTGAATGTACCCAGAAAAATGTATGATGTGCCTAGCGTCTTGATTATTGTACGAAGTATTTAATATGTAAGTACGTTCATCTTTTCTTAGCCGAGTTGGTGACCAATAACCCGTGGACCGCGATTCATGCTTTTGCCTTGTTTGTTGATTGGGACTTTAGGGCGCGCCGACTACTAAGATCATTTCGCGCCCAAGTGTCTTTACCTTTTTTACCAATATTTGAAGTACGTTTTAAAAAAGCTTAACTATGGCTTTCCTTTCAGTAGGGACCAGAGCCAACTTTTGGCACCAATCTGGCAGAATCTGCCCTCCCCTCCCGTTTTTCGCCAAGCCAATAACTTCTAAACGCGTTATGCTAGCGACGCCAAACTTTCAGTACCTTATCATACATCAATTAAACACGTTTCCTGAAAATTTGAGCGAAATCCGTCGAAAATGTTTTGAGAGAATTACTTTTAAGTGGAGTCATGTCTGCCATTTTCGCCTCAAAAACGGCAAAATTTCAAACACCGCTAACATCTTCATTTTTAAAGGAATCAAGACGTAACAAAAAGATTACACGTGATTCTGCTTTGTCTATCAAATGGCTATCGTGGTTTTTTGAAAATTTTGGATTTTGGCCCAAATTTTTCTTCTTAAAAACTGACTTTTTTGGGAAAATAATTATAAAATCCAAAATTTCTAGTTTATCGAAAAGGCCGTAATGTATGTCAGAGAAGTGGTCTATGTGCTCCAACATACCAATTTTGAGAAGAATCAGTTCAAAAATGTTGGAGTGATTCAAAATTTTATGATTTCAAGACACACAAAATTTTTGAAAATGAATTTTTCGAAGTTGTAGACCTCGTACGGAAGCAAAAATAGCACCATTCGATTCGCCGTGAAAAATGCATCAGATAGACACCTTTTTAGGTCTTAACAACCAACTTCAAAATTTGACCTCACTTGACCTGACGTTGACCTGACCTCGACTTGAAATTCATCCAGATGTGGTCTATATCACTTATTGAGTGTGCCTATTGAATTCTATGAATCAAATGACCCCATAAAACATGTGTTGCACATGCCCTTTTCTATATTTCATTTTTGGTGACCTGACCCTGACCTTGACCTTTGCATGATATTTTATGCAACGAATATTGTCTTGGTAACCTAAAAACACGTTTGGGCAATCAGTCTCAGTCCATTCTTCGGCAACTACGGTGCAAGGCCGATACTGTAGAAACTTGCATTTTGTACCCTTGACCTGACCTTGACCTGACCTCTGACCTACTTGAGCAAAATAAATTGGTTCTTAAGATCCGCCTTGTTGAGAGCTTTCGATTGCCGTTTTCCCCGTCTTTCTACGACTATCGGTTCGGAAGTTAGACGGGGGGGGGGGGGCAGAGTCTGCCCCCCCCCCAGCAGGGCGCGGATGGCTGAATAGCCCAGCGGGGCGCGGGTTACCCCGCCGGACCTATCGGTTTTCTACATACGGTCGAGGGGTTGTTACGACCCCCTCGCCGTTTCGCTCCTGATGGACCTAGAGCATTGCGGAAATAACGAGCGTATGACTGTGTGCCGTTACGAGCCGCAGCGATTAATGCCTGATTTGAAAGTCTCAGGTCAACCAGTGACCTCTGAGGTCAGGTCAAGTGGCCCAGGGCACGGGTTCGGTTTTTGGTAAATCGCTTGGTCAAAAATGGTCGCAAAGCCGCGATTTTGGCACCATCGTGTTTGTCTGGCCCAGGCGCGTCATGGTCTCCAACGGTACGAGCGGCGTGTGACGGGGTCTGGCGTTCTGTATTTAGAGAGTCGTTCTCAAAAGTTGCCTTCATTTTTTTCTGACAGCTGACCTCGTGGAAGGTTGTGTGCCTGTGGAGCGTTATTGTTGTTAGTTGTTCTCTTTGGGTCGGCTACCGTTAACCGTAGCGTAACGGCCGTGTGTGGAGCGTCGACGGCCGATCCCTTTGAAAGGTGTGAAGAGCGTGCGTCATCACGGTCATCGCTTCACCCTACCTCGGCCAGTGCGGCGGGGGGAGGGGTGCACCACCGTCCGTCGCATTGGACGGACAGGGTGTCGCTGTCACTGGCTGAAAGTGACTGTCCCAGTGTGGTAATTCTGCGTCCGTCAAACACATTCGTAGCAGTGGCTACGTGCATCTTGCGATCACCAGAAGCTGTTTCATTGCAGTGAACTGCCTGTTTGACGAAGTTTTGTGATCCATTGAGTCAGGCGACGGGAATCTGTGCCTACCGTTCGCCGTCACATTCGGCTAAGCCATCAACTATTACTGCAGCCACCCAAACTCAGGTATTTGTATTCCTCAAACCATGCGCCCGTATAGGGGGGGGGGGCAAACGGACCCCCCCGGTTTTTCGCGAATAATTCGCGTAAAAAGCGGCCGATCCCGACGAAACCTTCAGTACCCTCGCATTATCAATTTTACACCTACCCTGAAAATGTCATGACCCTGACTCAATTGACCTTTGACCTGTGATCTACTTTTCGAGACCATGTTTGGCCGGAATCGCGATTCGGCGTACATATGTCGGCTCGCATTAGCCGCGCGTTTGCAGTCTTTTCGTGGTTTCAAGTTTTCATACACGTGATATGATGTTGCTGCCATGCATTAGGATGGGTGTTAAGGTCACCTGAAGGTCAGCTCACGTCATTGACCTTTGATGACCTCGGTTCACTAATTCGGTTTTATAATGTTTCCAAGCTATTTTTTGGAGCTGAATTCGAATTTAGCAATCATTTGAACATTTATCAAGTAGTTTTGGTGGTGCTGTGTTTCCTGATATAATTTCAAAGCTCCAACCTTATAATGTGTTAATATACAAACTAACAAAAACATGTGGTTCATGTATCTGACCTAACAAGGCACTTGCAGGGTTTAAAACATTGGCTGTTTGGTGCATCTGTGTCAGCACGGAAGTTTCCACCGATCAAGTGCTGGTGACCCTATCTGCTCAATGCTTGTCCTGACGGCCGATGGCAATTGGCAAACATTTGCCCACTTCAACCGTCTACACAATATAGGCTTGCATTATTAACCCGTCAAAAGGCTTTGTGGTGTCTGCTCTTGCCGTGATTGCAGCTTTGATTGTCTTTCACACTCACAAGTCACAGAATTGCTTCTTAACAAGTTTACACTCACTTCTGATGAGCATGTACCTACATTATCGTCCTCTAGTGCCAGTGGGGATCAATGGCGTATTCACTCGAACAATTAAAGCCCGTTTATCGGAATGCTCATACTCGTAAGCTCTATTGCTGCCTGCGACCTACTCTCAGTTTTGCCAAACAAAAAAAAAGTAGGTACGTAGTGAGCCGATGGTTGATGGCAGTCAGGCTGTATTGATTCATGAAGCTGTTTACTTGGCGATGGCACCAGCAGCCTTGCATCTATAAATGGTTTAATGAGGTCTTTAGGTTTTAAGTCTGTACTCTGTAGTTGTTCATCTAAAATAATAAGTAGGTACAAAAGTCATTCTTACCGTTCAGATTGCAGGCGTCCTCCGGCCCAGCCTTGGCCTGCCGGGATGCGCTGGTGCGGCAGATGTGTGCCGCTGGTGCTGGTGCTGGTGCTGGTGGTGCCGTCCCTGGCTGCGGCTTCACGCAACACCACCGACTGCGGTACCAGGCGGCAGCTGGTGCAGCCCGATCGTCCGGTGGTGATTACTTCTCCCGGCTACCCGGCCGATCACGCACGCCGACAGGTCAGTCGTGGTGCAGTATTTGTATTTGTATTTGAATTGACAATTAAAACACTCCATATTAAAATGGCTATTCTGAGTGTCGCGTCTGAGTTAAAAGGAAAAACGGGTTAAAATGCACACAACTCACAGCACTCAGTAAACATCGAACCACTCACTCATCCCTAAATACCTACGTTAACACCACTCGGAAACGGAGCGCTGAAAACTTTCCATAGATAGGCTCCTAAAATCACGGGGCAGGCGATTATATAATTGGTTGGGCGATGCTGTAGAGCAGGCGCCGCCTCCCTGCTTCGGTTCTCATGCGTGGGAGAGCCAGATCAATGTCCCGCTGTGTCGAACGTGAGCGGCAGGGAAGAGTTGGCTAGGATTTTTATGGAAGGAAGAGTTGGCTAGGGCAGTGTTTTTAGAGACAGGCACGACATGCGCCGAGCGTTTTGAGTTTTCGCCAACTGATTAAGAGATGCTTCGTTGTGATTGTGAATCCCGTCGTGTTGGGATTATAACTTATAGCTTATATGTTATGGAGTTATCACGTCAGAACGGTTGTGATTAAAATTAAAACTGTTTCAAATGGTGTGAGTGCTCAGATCATGTGCACATTCGTCAGAGCTTACTTACTGATTCAGTCCTCAGTCAGGCTTCACATGCTCATTCCACGTTCAGTGTCCACGACGACAGTGGCGGATCCAGGGGGGGGGGGCAAAATGGGCATTTGCCCCCCCCCCCCCAAACGGCATACTTTTAACATTACGCCTATGGACGATGCATGGAAAGAATCGATAAATTGTTATGGTTTGCCCCCCCCCCCCAAAAAAAAAAAACTCTGAGCTGGATCCGCCTCTGCACGACGATACAATTAAATAGAGAATAGAAAGAGGAGACCGTTGTCCGTTACAGTTGTCTTCCACTAATAAAATGTCGATGCAGTTAGGCAGGCTAACCCGCCAGACAAGGGTGCTTTGCGGGTTGCCTACCCAGCCAGCTCTCGTCGGCGTCGCCAGTGACGTCACTACCTTTCTGACTAATCCAACAGCGTTGCTCGTGGCGGCTGCAGCCGTCCCGACCCAGTGACGTCATCCGGCTGGTGTGCACGGACGTGGACCTGGCCGGATTTCGGCTCGGTGTGCGTGTGGGGGATTATCTGCGCGTGCGCACCTCGGGCCGGAGCCGGCTGATCCAGTACAGAGACCTACTGCACTGCGCCGACGTGCCGCTCACAATACAGGTGATGGGGGGGGGGGGGGGCTCAAAATAAAGGGGACTGATGGGAGGTCATAATAATGGGGATAAGAGAGGGGGAACTTACAATTGAGTGAGGGAGGGGAGGGGGCTCAAGAGCGGGGGGAGGGGGCTCAAAATACCAGGTGAGGGAGGGTCAGGCAGCTCAGGATGCACGTGTATGATGGAAGTGATTAACACAATACAGCTGACGGCAGGCACAGTTGCCGTTCAGCTCATATTGCAGTCAAGGAGCTCCGATCGCTACATCCTTGCAGAATGCAGGTGTACCGTCATTAACCTTCCAGGCGGTGGGGGGGCATTTTTTGCCCCCCCCTTTAGTTTTTTCGTTATATCTCGAGAACCGCTGCGCCGATCGTCACCAAACTTTCAGTACCCTCCCGGGAGTAGCTAGCGCACATGGTGACCAAAAATTTTTCCAAAGGCTATAATAGGTTGGCCGCTAATGACGTCAGAGTGACGTCATTTCTGCCATTTTCGACCCAAAAAAAGGTTTCGCGGGAAGAGCTGTCAGGCCTACAGCTTTAGAGATACAGAAAAATATTTCTAACATAAAAGATGTGAAATTAAGAGGGCTACAAAACTTTTAATTCGATTTTTCGATTTTTTTTGGATTTTGACCCCCAAAAATGAAAAAATAGATTTTTTGAATATAAAAGCCAAAAAATCCAAAAAGTATTTTGAATTTCGAAAACACTGAAATATATGTGATAGTTCCTACCACCTTCTATCTACATACCAAATTTGAGATCGATACCTCTGTTTTTGGCCAAGTTATAGCGAAAAAACTTCAAAATTGATGACGTCAAATTTTCAAACTCAATTTTTAGCAATTCTAGACCTCGTATCGCAAAACAAAGACCACCATTAGACTCCCCGTGACGAGCTGCATCGAATCAATGCCCATTTTATGAAAAATATCAACTTTGAAATTTGACCTTTTTTGACCTGACGTTGACCTGACCTCCACCAAAAAGTGACCTAAACCGTACCTGATGGTCTTATAACCAACACCATTGAGTTGCAAATGAAAAACTGGCCATAAAACATGCGTCGCACAACCTTAGTAAAGTTGGGTTCATGTGGGGACCCTTGGTGACCTTTGGTGACCTGACCTGTGACCTGACCTGGTATGACCAGTGACCTCTAATAGCAACATATGTACTAGACAACTGACGCCTTATCGCTGATTTTCGACAAAATGCGTTTTACTCGGTGTTATAGCGCTTTCCCCAGAAGCCCCGTGAACGGTGAAACATTTTATCTTTGACCTGACCTGTGACGTCATCGGTGACCTCGAGGTCAATGAAATTTGGTTTCCTTCGACAAATTTAACAGGGCTATCGAACGCCGTTTGAATTTTCCGGATCCGTCCAGTAGTTTCGGAGATACGGGGGGGGGCAAAAAAATGCCCCCCCCCACCGAGCGGAAGGTGGCCGGGAGGCCCACCGCCTGCCGGGTTAATGCACATTGCACAAGAAGGTAACTGTACCGTGCATGGGTATTAGTGGCGTAAAGACCAGATTTAAAAATCCTTGCTATATCTTCGGATGCCGTTTATTAAACTTACTTTTATTCGTATAATTATTCGTATTCATCGGAAACGAAAACTTCTCTACGCTACAGCTATTAAATGTTAAATGTGAATATAAATGAATTTCAAGCTGTCATGTCATGTGAGTTGCTGCTGCATTGGTATCGTCTTTCAAGGGGTGGGCGTCATGGCCTTGGGCCTCATGGTATTACCCTGATTAGAGGAAGGGTAATTATTTGGCTCAGTTCTGTTATCCAGATATGTGTCGATCCTGTAGGAACCTACATATTTTGGATACCTGTTATCGTGCAAGGGGCGGTTTTGTTTGTGCTGGAATATGTCTTGTGTCCATATGTTGAGGTCACCCTGCAGATTCGTCCACTCGAGTACCTTCTGTTTATGTAAATTGAACCAGTTGTTTTGTGGAGAAGGATTCCCCGCCGTGCCTGCGATGTCCGCTCGCTGATTGTTGATGACAGTTAGTGGCTGACTCGATGTCTGGTGCTCGTTGGCAGCCCGGAATTCGGTCAGGCTGGACATGGTGTTGACAGTCGCTCCGTCCCAGTGTTTATGATAGGGGTTTTCCGGTGATATCGGTGCAGTGCTCATGTCACTCGCTGCGGAGGTCGGTCGGTCAGCGCGTACCTTCTGGTATGTCTCATGCTTCCATGGAGTAAACACCGAACTTGAACGTCAAAACAAGTGCATATCGAAAGCTATTTGCCCGGGCCGGCACACTAATGCGTTTCGATACTCTAACTCGTTAGCATTGTGTTTCGGTATCGTATATCGAAGGATCGATGGGCGGCTGGTTCTTATTTCTTATTTTTATATTTCGCCCACTGATTAGCTATACCTGCTCGAGAGCTGATGCCACTGAGCCACAAATCACAGGCTTACGTCTGGTAGTGGTACTTGCCATTTTACAACCCGATACGGTCACGTGCCCATGGTATCACCTCTAGCGTCCTCCTCCAAGGCCCCTCGCCGGTCTGCCGTCTGATTGGGAGACATGTGTCTCTGCAGTCACGTGTGACGTGTGCCGACACTCGTCCGAGGCGTCAACAACGCCTAAGACGTCTGCACCCGAGGCATTTGACTGACGTCTGTAAAGTGCCTGGTAAAACCGCGCTATCAATGCAAGTTCTAACCTTTCTGTACACGTGATTAGTGCATGCTGTGTACAAAATAATATATATTTATTTTACTGCATTGTATAAGTTAGGTATAGAATTTTTGCAACTTCGGTAGGCATATTTGATTAGTTAGTCGTATGTAGGTATGTACATGCATACACAACTATTTTTTATCGTCAAGCTTCCTGCCCGTCTACGGGACTAGGAAGTATGAGCCGTTTCACGGTCCGAAAATCGGGCTAGGAAATGGCGGCTGTTGTGTACTGTGTATTATGTGGTTGCCATATACGCTCGACTGCTGTATGATTTGTTACGGTTTTTAGTTGAATGAAGGTGCAGATTTACACAAAGGCTATGGAGCGACGCAATTTGAATTGAGTTGCGGCGGGACACCATTTTGCATAAAAGTTGCCTGGGGCCAGTCTGTGAAATCCGACAAATAAAACCTTACGTTGGTGCCGAGGTTTGCTGCAACAAAACGTCCATGTTATTTATGTGAAGCAGCTTAGATCGACCCTATTGCATGTTCTTCAGGACTCGTGAGGCTAATTCACTATGTAGTCACCAAGAGTAATGTGTGCCGAAAAGTGCAAGCTGCCCTGAATTCAAACCTTAGACGTTTAGGGTTTGAATGAAAATGCCCTTGTAATCAGGGCTGCGGAGTCGGAGTCGGAGTCGGTCGGAGTCGACAGTTGTGACCGGAGTCGGAGTCGGAGTCGGAGTCGATTTTAGAAACCCGAGCCGGAGTCGGAATCGGAGTCACCGAAAATCTGTCGACTCCGCAGCCCTGCTAGGTCTGCGGAGTCGGAGTCGTGAGTTGGAGTCGGTCGGAGTCGACAATTCTGCCCGGAGTCGGAGTCGGAGTCGGAGCTGGTTTTTGAAAGCCTGAGTCGGAGTCGGAGTCGCCGAAAATCCATCGACTCCGCAGCCCTGCTTGTAATAGTGCCGGATGACTGGGCCACAGATCCTCTTAGCATCGTCTCCAAAGATCAAACTAGGAAGTTGCATATTGAACACCTCCCGTAAAATTGTTCCTTCATATGGGCGTCGCCATCTGAGAACGTACATACCTAGGGTATACGTTCTCCAGCTGTGTGCTCTGCTCTGCCGCCAGGGATTTCGGCTGGTTGAGCGGCTAAGTGTGCTGTCCGCTGATAAAATGTGATCTGTCGGCAGGGTAAGCCGGGTGAGCCGGTGTATATTCGGTTCTCCTCCGATGGCCTGTTCCAGAGACGAGGCTTCAGCTGCCAGGCGTCTGTCTCGCAGCGCGGGGGCGGCGATCGCACCACCTGCTGTAGAGGTGGGAAACGCCGCTCCTTCAGATCCCTTATTAATCCGTCGTTTAGATACTTCCTCACTTCCTCTAACTTCACTGGTCTCACTAACTTTGGCACGTAAAGCACTTCGTTTATCAACACCAAGCCAGCGACTTCACCTGAATAAAAAATATAAACACGGACTTGACGTTAAATATACCTATTGAGCAGTCAAATTGCACATTAACCCGCGCCCCGTATACAGCCCTATAGGGCTATCGGCGGACCCTACCACCCGTAGAGGGGGAGGGGGCGTTTCGGCCCCCTAAGATCTCGGAAATTTACCGTCCGATTTTCAAAATTCAAACGGCGTTCGATAGCCCCACCGGAGAACTACCTTGTGACCAAATTTCATTGACCTAGGTCAAACCAATGACGTCACAGGTCAGGTCAAAGGTCGGATTTTCACCGTTCACAGGCATTTCAAGAAATGTGTTGTGAACTCGAGTAAATTGGTAAGTTATTGAAAACCATCGATGGTACATTGTTCGTCAAACACATACTTTGCTATCTGAGCATAGGCGGCGGAACGGGGGGGGGGGGGGCACCGGGGCACCGTGCCCCCCCTTGAATTCTGCAAGGGGGGCACCAATAGCAAGGTGCCCCCCCTTAAATTTGATGCATTAGTACAGGGGCGGATTCGGGAAAACTCCAAGGGGAGCACTGAAAAAAGTTTTTACCATCAATTTACTAAGTTACTAGCTTTGGCAAATTTTACCATCAGCCTACCATCATATTACTACCAGCCTACTATGGTGCTGAATACTATCCTGCCTTGACATGTTGATATTACCATGGTTACGTTTATCAGGGGTGGTTTTGTACCCCAGTTTACAAGGTGGTAACCACCTGAGGCTAGTAGATACCCTCGTAAGCTAATATTCCCTACCATAGTAAAATCAACCTTTCCACGGGCGGATCCAGCAGGTGAATTCGGCGATCAAGTCTCCTCCTTTCCATAGAGGTGTTTGCCAATTTTTGATATGTTGGAAGGAGCGTCATCCAAGGACTAGCTGAGACCCTGAGCAATTAATAGTTTTATGGACGAAAGGCCAGAAATTTCTTGCAACAGTTCCCTGGGTGTGCTTCTGCTGCTATGGTAAGGTATACCATGGCAACACCATGACAACACTACACCCTTACTAACAATCCACGTGCGTCTGACTCTGCTGCAGCGGCGCCGCCATGTCAGTTCCGGCCGCGCGCCGGCGTTGTGAAGGTGCTCCGTGGTTTTAAATATTTGAACGGTGATTGTGTGGGTGGTTAGCGTAGCTGACGGTGGAGGATACTCGGAAATAACAAGTAAGTCGTTGTATCTTCAGCATAATAATACTTATCTCACGAGTGCCATTTCCAGCAAAGATCGCAGCCTTTGTTTCGGTTCATGTTGTTGAATTTCCTTGAGACCCTGTTGGACCGGGTAGGGGGAGGGTGGTGGGGTGGGTATCATTGCGGGCATTTCCCAGCGTCGGAAATCAACGTGTTTTTTTATTTGTTAACCCACGCCTCACTGGGGTATGTGCTCTAACGCGCCCCACAGCACGTTACAGCACGTTACAGTGGGGGGGGGGGGGCTCCTAACTCCGAAACTACTGGGCCGATTGTCAAAATTCAAACGGCCCCTGGTAGCCCTGGAAATATTGTTGAGCGAAGCCTAATGTCATTGACCTCGAGGTCATCGATGACGTCACAGGTCAGGTCATTTTTTTTTGGGGGGGGGCATTTTTTGCATCCATCTTTAGTTTTTTTTTTCGATATATCTCCAGAACCGCTGCGCCGATCTTCACCAAACTTTCAGTACCCTTTTGCACATTGTGACCAAATTTTTTTCCAAAGGCTATGATAAGTTGGCCGCTACGTCGGAGTGACGTCATTTCTGCCATTGTCGACCAAAAAAAAAAGCTTCGCGGGAAGAGCTGTCAGGTCTATAAATTTGATTATGCATAAAAATGTTCAAGACATGAAATGTGTAGAATTACCAGGGCTACTATACTGTTCTCTCGATTTTGTTTTTGAAGTTGACCCCAAAAATAAAAAGAAATAGATATAATAGCCAAAAAATCCCAAAAGTTTTTCGATTTTCGAAACAAACGGAATATATGTAATAGCCACTATGGACTTCTATTCACATTCCAAGTATTAGATCGATAACTCCTTTTTGCCAAGTTATAACAAAAAAAACTGTTCAAAATTAATGACGTCAAATTTTCAAACTCGATTTTGGCAATTCTAGACCACAAAGCGCAAAACAAAGACCACCATTAGACTCGCCGTGACGAGTGGCATCGAATCAATACCAATTTTATGCGAAACTATCAACTTTGACCTGAAATTTGACCTTTTTGACCTGACATTGACCTGACCTCCACCAGAAAGTGACCAAAAAACCGTCCCTGATGGTCTTATAACCAACACCATTGAGGCGAATATGAAAAATTGGCCATAAAACATGCATTGCACAACCCTACTTAGTAAAGATAGGTTCATGTGCTGACCCTTGGTGATCGGACCTGGTATTATCAGTGACCTCCAATAGCAACATATGCTCGTATAATAGGCAACTCACGCCCTATCGCTGATTTTTGACAAAATGCCCTTTGCTCGATGTTGCAGCGCATTCCTTAAAAGACCCGTGAACGGTGAAACATTTTATCTTTGACTTGGCCTGTGATGTCATCGGTGACCCCGAGGTCAATGAAATTGAAGTTCCCTCGACAAATTTAACAAGGCTATCGAACGCCATTTAAATTTTAACGATCCGTCATAGTAGCTTCGGAGATTCGGGGGGGGGGGTCAAAAATCCCCCCCCCCTCCCACCGCGCGGAAGGTAGCCGGGAGGCCCACCGCTTGCCGGGTTAAAACTCAGATCTTGAGAGCGATTACCGTTGTTCAATGCTTTGCATCAAAATCGGCCGAACATGATGTCACTCTGGCGTTATTTCCGGCCGATCTATAGTAGCTACGAAAATTTTATTAGTGCACAAGGTGTCAAATAAATTGATGCAGCCGAAGGTCCTAAAAGCTTTGTTTTGATACGTCCAGCGGTTTTAAAGATATTGCGTAAACACGAGAGGGGCTATGAATAGCCCTCCCCACAGTAGGGTGGGGGTTAACCCTCGCCCGTATTGGTGTTTTTCCAGCCACGAACGTTTAAGGGGGGGTCCGTTGAACCCCCTCCTTGCCGTTTCGCCCCTGATTGAGCTAGAGCTTCGCGGAAAAAACGAGCGTGCTGCCCGTGACGAGAGAAAGCCGATGGTACCCAATTTTATCCTAGGTCGTCGGTCCTAGGTCATCGGTTGACCTTCCAGGTCAGGTCAATGACCCAAAAGTGGGGAAAACTGGGACCTGTTAGAACGTCGTAAAACGTGGCTGCTATTGGGTTTTTTAGGGAACTGATCACGAATATCATGTTAGCTATGATCATAGATGATGTCTTCATGCATTTAGGCCAGGTCGGGTCAGGTCAGGTCAGGTCAACCAGTAAGGGTTTTGCCGGGTATTCGTAGTAGGTGCACTAGGTGGCAACCGCCTCTGACAGCTTCGTAACATGTTACGAAGGCACCAAAACTACTTCGTAAATGTTCATATATGGTTGTTAAATTCGAAATCAGCTAAAAAAACTAGCCTAGAATGATGCTGATAAAACTCGAAAAAGTAAACCGAGGTCATCAAAGGTCAATGAACTGACCTGACCTTCTGGTGACCTTGACATCCACCCTAATGCATGGGAGCAGCATCATATCCCATGTTTGAACGCTTGAAACCACGAAAGGACTGCAAACGCGCGGCAAATGCGAGCCGACATACGCCGAATCGCGATTCCGGCCAAACATGGTCTCGAAAAGTAGGTCACAGGTCAAAGGTCATTAGTCAGGGCCATTACATTTTTTAGGGTAGGTGTAAAATTGATTATAACTCGAGGGTACTGAAAGCTTCGTTGCGGTCGGCCGCTTTTTACGCGAGGTATTCGCGAAAAACCGAGGGGGAGTCCGTTCGACCCCCCCCCCCTATACGGGGGAGGGTTAACAAGCCAAAACGTTGCTAATTTTTATTTTGATCTGACCTGTGACGTCAACGGTGATCTCGAGGTCAATAAAATTAGGTTTTGCTCGACAGTTTTTCCAGGGCTATCAGACGCCGTTTCAGTTTTGACAATCGGCCCAGTAGTTTCGGAGTTGGAGCGGGGGGGGGGGTTCTATAAATAGCCCCCGCCTCCCCCAGTGGAGTGCGTTACAGAACATACCCCAGTGGGGCGCTGGTTAAGAGTAGAATTTTTGAATTATTGCCAACACTCAACACTGCACCTCATGGCAATTAATTCATTATAGGGCATTTTACCTGAACCAGCCTCTGGCCTAATGTCCCAAATTTGCTAAATTCCTCACCCTACAAATCCCCTGTTCTATTAGATGCTGCCATTTTTTTAAAACAACTTATCTTAAATCCTTGTTTCATCAAACTGGGAGCTAGGTCACGGGACACTGCGAGTCAAGGTGGGAGGGGTAGGAGATAGAGTGTCACTGCAGCACACACAATCAATCTTTCCATTGGTTTATCTTATATCAATGCCTGCTCTTTTCCAGAGCTGGCTTTCGAAGTTCGAACCTTCGGTATATGGCTACCAATGCCCTTGGAGAAGGTGTTGCGTGATAAATCGCTGGAAGGGCGACATTCAACGATTGTGTGAAAAGAGACCGATTGCATTGTGATGATAAAGTGAACTGTAATAATTGTTGTTCATGCGCGTTGTTTGGTTATGTGCAGACGTAACTTTGTTTGTGGCCAAATGCTTTTTATGTGTGAAATATTTCATGTAGGTTACTAGGTAGATGCTTTGGAAAAGTGAAGAGCTGCTTTGTCGACTGCTAGGTAGATACTGTCATGCATGCTGTTGTGCATCAGTAAGTGGCTGTCGTAATGATAAACAAATTTGGCATGGATAGGCTAAAGCACAGCATATGAAGCATGCTGGTTGATGACTAGTAAGATCCTGTTAACCGACTGGTAATATCACAATAAATGTCACATAGTAAACTATTGTTTTACGATGGTTGGCCAGCAAAGCAAAGCTGGTATCCAGATGACAAAAGGATGGTTTTACCATGATAAGTCATTAGTAAGCATTACCAGGGAGTAGCTAACGATAGTAAAGTCCTAGTTTCGTGCTAGTATCACGTGGGTTTTTGGGCATGGTATGACGACATATAGTTACCGTGTTAATACCATGGTAATTTTTACTGGCATTGGTATTCACATGGTTTTACATTCATATTAGGCCTAGTATTTGGGTCGTAAGTTAGTTTACCATAGGTAAGAGGCTGTTCAAAATATGACCACCACTCGAAAACTAACTAGGGTGGTATTTTTCTTAGTAGGCGGTACCAGGATAATACTAGCGTTAGTAGAGCTTTGGTTTCTTATTAGTTATGCTTTAGTTTCAAGGTAGTATGATGAAAAAATATTACCGTACTAAGACCATGGTATTTTGATGAGCATTGGTAGTTGCATAGTATTCCTTTGATATTGGGCCTAGTATTTGGATCGTAAACTGGTTTACCATAAGTAAAAGGCTGTTCAAAATATGACCACCACCCAAAAACTAACTAGGGTGGTATTTTTTTCTTTCAGTGAGGGTCATGAATCGAAGTGGTGCCCCTACCTATACCCAAAATTAAAACCTCAACGGATTTCGGCCACTTAATTTTGGTGGTGCCCTATTTTCAGTTTTTTATTTTCTTTATTTTTGGTTAGTCATGTGATGACTGGTGCCCCTGCTAGGCCGCTGGTGCCCCTGGAAAGACTTTGGTACCTACCTACCCTGCCCCCTGACAAGCCTATAGTGGGCCCTGACATGACTTAGGTGCCCATGGGCCCTGACAGGCCCGTGGTGCCCCTGACAGGCCTGTGGTGTCCTTGCTAGACCTGTGGTGTCCCTGGGCCTTGGCAGGTCTGTGGTGCCCCTGGCGAGCCTGTGGTGCCCCTGTTAGAACGCAGGTGCCCTTGACAGGTTTGTGGTGCCCCTGACAATTCTAAAGTGCCAACGACAGGCTTGTGGTGCCCTTGACAGGCCCATGGTGCCCTTGCGAGGCCGGTGGTTTCCCTGCGAAGCCGATAGTGACCCTGGCAGGCCTCTGGTGCCCCTGGCAGGTCTGTGGTGCCCCTGGAAGACCTGTAGTGCTTTTGCTAGGCCGATGGTGCTCCTGACAGGCCTGTGGTGCCACTGACAGGCCCGTGGTGCCCCTGCTAGGCCTGTGGCGCCCCTGTCGGCTGTCAGGCCTGTGGTGCTCCTGGCAGGCATGTGGTGACCCCAGGCCCTAAGTCATGACCCATGTGACATCCCCCCTGGGATTCGCCACTGATTAGTACTGCGATGACTTCTTGGGAATTTGATACATGTAGGATAAATTTAATTTATCAAACGACAATAAGGAAGAGGCAAACACATAGGTACTTGAGGATCAGCTTAAAGTTAACCACACATACGGGGGTGAACTGCCATTTTCGTTTAGTAAAAAACAAAACAAAAAATAAAAAAATCATCGTGCCAGGGCTGTGACGAAAAATAAGTGGCCTAAATCCGATGAGAAAACAGGATTTGGGGGTACCCTAGGTTTGGCTCCTTGAGCTGGTGCCCCCCTTGTCTCAAATCGTTCCGCCGCCTATGTATCTGAGGTCACTGATACCAGGTCAGGTCACATAGGTCAGGTCACTGGGGGGTCACAATAGCCGTTTTCACGACGGGATATCCGGCGAATGCACTTGATTTGACCAAATCTGCACCTAATTTCTTTTACAGCAAATATCTTCATTTTATGAATTTATTTCAGTGTTTTAATCGATGATGCTCTCTGATAAAATGACAAAGCAGGCAAAGCAATTAGTGCAACCCTATAGCTGATAGCTGCTAAGAGACACACTGAACCTGATTTGACCAAATCTGCACCTAATCTGTACCAGATGTGCACCAAATGTGTACCAGATGGCCATCGTGAAAACGGCTAATATGAAAGTGTCGTGTGATACATGTTTTATGGTCCATTTTACATGACAAATGCGATTATGTGGGTCAGGCAGCCTTTAGGTCACGTTTTGGTGAAGGTCAGGTCAAGGTCAGGTCAAATTATGTCAAATTTCAAAAGTTGATATTTTTGCGTAAAAAGGGCATCGATTCGATGCAGCTCGTCACAGGGAGTCTAATGGTGGTCTTTGTTTTGCGCTACGTGGTCTAGCATTGCCAAAAATTGAGTTTGAAAATTTGATGTCATCATTTTTGAACAGCTTTTTGGCTATAACTTAGCCAAAAACGAGATATCGATCTGAAATTTGGTATGAAGATAGAAGACGGTTGTTACTATCACATATCCTCCGTTTTTTAACTCAAAAAACTTTTTGGATTTTTTGGCTTAGGTATATATAAAAAATGTTTTTTTGATTTGGGGGTCAAAACTCAAAAAATTCAAAATCCGAGATAGCAGTTTTGTAGCCCTGTCAATTCTACACCCTTTATGTCTTGACCATTTTTCTGTATCTTCAAAGCTGTAGGCCTGACAGCTCTTCTCGCGAAGGTCTTTTTTTGGTCGAAAATGGCAGAACATGACGTCATTCTGACGTCACTTGTGGCCAACCTATCATAGCCTCAGGAAAAATTTCGGTCAAAATGTGTAAAATTGATACCCGGAGGGGTCATGAAAGTTTGGTGGCGATATCTCCAGCCGTTAAGGAAATATCGACGGAAAAGGACAGGGGGGCCGTTTCGGCCCCCCCCCCCTACGGGGCGCGGGTTAAGGTTAGAATACGTAATACATACGAATGTCTGGTCTAACGTTTTAACTTCAGGAAAGGCGTATTGAAGAAACACCACAGGCGTCTTAGAAAGGCATATAATTTTTGCTACTTTGTATCTTTTTTTATTACTTTGGTTACACCTACGATATGTTTAAGGTTGTGCCATATGCCAAAGCAGTGAGCCACAGCAGTTCAGAATATCGTTCTGTTTTATAAGTCACAACTGAACTAACTCGCTTCATGGCCTACTTCAGAGTGCGGCATATCATTCATCTCGGAGTCGGCTAAGAACGTGACTCGGTGGACCACCGAGTCTCCCACCGTTCTGAGTTCACCAGCACCAGTCATCTCCGAGCTCTCGACAGCCCGAGCCAGTGCACCTGGCTCCGACCGCCCCACCGACCGACCTGCGGCCACGCCGTCCACACCGCCTGTCCACGCGGCCCACCTGTCCACCTGGTACCACGTGACCGACGCCCACCCCACCGGCCGCTCTCCATCGGACCCACTCGGTCCGTCCCAGGCCGGAGCTGAGCAGGGGACGGCTCAGAGCCGGTCCGTGCCGCTGCGGCAGCGGGGGAGGACCGGCCGGCAGCAGCGGTCGGCGCGACTGCCGGCGCGAGCGGCCGACCTCCGGGTGGTCGGAGGAGAGGAGGTGGCGCCCGGAGCCTACCCGTGGGCCGCCTTTCTGGTGCTCACCGTCCAGGGTGAGGCCGCCGCACGGGGCGGGGACGGAGCTCCGACGCGGGGCGGGGAGGGAGCGGGGTGAGGTGTGTGCGGGGTGAGGTCCGGCGAGAGGTCTAGGGTGGGAACTGTGGAGAGGGGAGGGGGACTGGGATATTATTCACAGAACGGCCCGACGGGTGACAAAGTCTTCGGTCGTTACTCGTTTTCACCATCTTTCGGGGTTTCACTAAGTTAACTTGTGAGTTGTAACTGTATTGCTAGTCAGACATTCTTGATGAATTCGAATATGATTGTGTTCTAATAAAAATGAACTCATCACTGACCTGACATACACCAGTCATGACAGAGCAACACACAGCACGCACCCTCTGTCTCAGTGTGAGTATAACTCTGCCCTGTTTCAGGCCAGGCCGGGTTCATCTGCGGGGCGACCGTCATCAGTCGCAGCTACCTGGTGACCGCCGCTCACTGCGTGTACCGCGCCGACGCCGCCACAGTTCTGCTCGGGTACACCTCACTCCGGGAACCCGGCCCGCACAGCGTCCAGGTCAGGTCCGCAGCGGCAAGGGGTCATCATTGGGAGGGCGGCTTGAGTTCAAGGCGAACCGAGCTTCAGTCGTGGCGACGACCTGCAGATGGTAGGTAATGGTGATGGCCTGAAATCCATCTCTGATCAAGTCATGATACTGACCTGAACTCAGCTCATCGACTGAAGAACGGGCAAGAGTCATGTAAGGATTGGGCTGAAAAAATAACCGCATTAAATTAAGCACTGCGCACTGATGACCTGTCTCCCAGCCCCACGACCACCCCGTGTCTCCAGTTTTTATTTTTCTTTGTCTAGGTGCCGGCGGCGGAGGCGGTGGTGCACCCCGGCTGGTCGGCGCGGTTTGTGACACACGACATCGCGCTGCTCCGACTGCAGCGGCCTATTGAGTACAGCGAGGCCGTCCGACCCATCTGCCTGCCCACCCGACAGCAGGTCAAACGATACACGTTCATTTGGGGATTATGGACATATCGAGATCATGCAGAATATACTTCTGTGTGGAAATATACCCGCTTTTTATTTATTTAAAAGTACAGCGCTCGTTTTCAGAGTGACTCTTTGTATTACTTATTTCAGAGTGACTCGTTTTCAGAGTGACTCTTTGTATTACTTAAGTATTACTGATCTTTTCCCTTATGTCGTTCAAGGAGTCTTGTTGTATTTTCCTGTCGTGTCCATAACCCACATTACTCTTGTAATATTCACGCTCGACTTCTCAGTCCACTGCACTGGACGACGATACAGCGGGGTGCGCTAACATCGCCGCCTGTCGGTCAGGTGGCCGAACTAAGCCTCTCCTTCCTTCCCCCAGGTGGCAGAGACGTTTGCCGGCGAGCTGGGCACAGTTCTGGGCTGGGGCGGGGGCGGCGCCACGGACGGCGACTCAAAGGGTCGTCTGAGGGCGGCTCAGGTACCCCTGATGGCCAACTGTCGCTGTCAGCTGGTCTGGCCTGTGGTGGTGACGCCGCTGAAAATGTGCGCCAGCGGCCGACTGGGCACCTCCTCCTGCGGGGTGAGTTGGGCGCGGCAGCTCCGAGGTTGGAAAATTGTGTAATGAGGCACATAGGACAGATTGAGGGATAGATGCTGATAGGACAGTCTTTGTCCAATCTTGCATTCGATTCATTGATTTCCCTAATAGATGATAGAGGGTGACGAGCCTGGCATCAGTGATTACAGTCCGATCCTCGTTCCATGCATTGCTTGGCGTTCCCTCATCTGCAGCACCGCTTATTTTCTCTCCTCTGACCAAGCCCCGGCCGTCTCTGACCTCACACCCTCCCGCAGGGCGACTCTGGCGGCGCGCTGCAGGTGACCTCGGGTCAAGGTCACGTCGTGCTGGTGGGCGTGGTCAGCTGGGGGTCAGCGTTCGGCTGTGACCGGGGCCGTCCGAGCGGCTACACACGCGTGACGCCCTACCTCGACTGGATCGAGGCGCAGTCCGGAGTCGCCATACAGCCGAACTGAGTTTCACGCAAGAGTCGACTCTCCAGGACTATAGAGAGCAGTCCGGAGTCGCCGTGCAGCCATACTGAGTTCAAGTTAACGCACCGCAAACTGACTCTACAGGACTACAGAGAGCAATCTGCATACAGTCGTACTCAGTTTCGCGCTTCGAGTCCTGGAACACAAGGCTGTCGGCCATCAGAGAATTATCTAGGGGCGTGGTTCGCGAGCGCAGGACCTGGGAAAACTGTAATGTCTACCAATTCCCGGTTCTGACCAGACTGTAGGGCCAGCGAAGGAGCAGCGAAGAAGCTGCATTGCCCCAATGTCAGTTACCTACTTGCGTGGCCTTTTGTGCGAATGTTATTGTGCAGTGCCTGCGCGAAGAAAGCATTTTTGTTTTTAAACACGCATAAAACTCACAGCACTTTATTTTAAATGTTCGTCACAAAAATATGCAATATGTTACAAACCAGGCTTATAAAAGCATAACTGCAACTAACTGGAGCGTTTCAAACGCATGATCACTAAGCCATAAGCAACGCATCTTTAGGGTGCAGGCTACACAGCAAAAATAAACGCAAACCAACAACAAACGTGGAAAAATAGAAGACCTTCAAAGCTCTCCTTCAGCACTGCGCTCTATCTGGCTTGGAACACAAACGCAGCACATTTTAGGGACCCTGTGATCGTGCCGGTTTTATGTTCTCTCCCCACAGGCTGTCCTCCCAGCAGGGAAGCACGCACAGGTACCCACGACCGGCCCGGCACCGAACCCAGTCAGTGCGGTCTGTATCAGTCTCAGTCCCAGTCCCAGTCAACCCATTACACTGCTTCCCCACACCCCGCCCCGACAGGTCCAGTCCCAGCTCACTGCAAGTAGCCAATCCAGTCATGGAGTCATCAGTCTCGCTCACTTTAAGACTCCAATTCAGTGGGGCCATCAGAGACCTGCGCGGTCCGCCAGCTCGGCCGTCCCGATCAGCCAGTTCGTTCGCCGTGCAGTACTAATGTCTGTACTCTACCTTCCCACGATTCATACGACCGACGTGCCCCTCACACGGCTACCGTAACGCGGCGACGGATCAGAAACGCGTCACAATGACATGATTCCGCGGTTCGGGAACTGACTGATGACGTCACAGTACCTCTCAGTGGTGTGACGTCACTCGGCGGCGGCGCGGGGGCTGACGGCCACCCAAACGTCCTCCCGTGGTGTGGTGACGTCACAGTACCTCTGCAGTATGACGTCACTGGGCGGCGGCGCGGGGGCTGACGGCCACCCACACGTCCTCCCGGGGTGTGGTGACCAGCGTGATGAGCTGCTCGTCACTCTGGTCCGGCAGCAGCTCCAGCTGGGTGGACGGCAGCAGCTGCCGCAGCACCTCCGTCGCCAGATCTTCATACGTGCTGCAACAGTTCAGGAGAAAACCTGTTACTGAGGAAATTGGTAAACAAACGCCAGAAGAAACTCCTTATAGTCACGACGCAATATTGTCTTATGGCGAATATGGTGCGAATACATTACAAACCGACACACTACACACATTGCCCCAACAGACGGTAAATAACTTTTGAAAATACCAATTTCCAATTTTAGTGTTTTCTGGACCAAAATTTTGCGAGGAATCCGATGGTGTGGTCCCCGAAATCTGAAAAATTTCCATTTTGGAGATAGTACCTATTTTTGGAAAAATAAATATTCGTCAGGCTTAATAGTCAAATAAATTGGAAATATAATGAGTTAATTTTTGTAACAACACTAGAATGTGTCGAACATGAATTAGAGATATATTTTAGCTGAGATGATACTATATCTGCGCATACATGTACATGAACTAGTACATTAACCCTCGCCGGCCGAGAAGGGGTGGTGCGGGTGCCGCCTAATAGGGCTTTTCGCGATAGCTTACAACTCGCTTAGGGTAGACAGCTGAAACTTGGCATGCCTAATCTTTTATTCAAGCTGGATCTTTTGACCTCAACTGCGTTTTCAGGTCAGGTCAGGTCACTGACCTATGACGTCATAAATGAGCCTCTGCGAGGTCCTCAGATGTTGCAACTTTGCAACGCCCTCAGTGCCAGAGGAACTTTCACAGGAAGATGAAACTTTCAGGACGTAGTATCCTTCAGAGGTCTCACAACTTGTATATCTCGGATTTAACCTAAATGTCACATGAGGTCAGGTCGGTCACGTGACCTCACCATTATAAGTCAATGGGGGAAATACGAAAACTGTTATTTTGGCGCCGGAAATGATCTAAAACTGTCCCAAGCACATGAAATCGTGGTTTCATGTACTCTTTGTAAGGTCCGATCATGAAGCCACGATTTCATGTGCTTGGGATAGTTTTAGATCATTACGGCGCCAAAATAACAGTTTTCGTATTTCCCCCATTGACTTATAATGGTGAGGTTACGTGACCGACCTGACCTCATGTGACATTTAGGTTAAATCCGAGATATACAAGTTGTGAGACCTCTGAAGGATACTACGTCCTGAAAGTTTCATCTTCGTTCCTCTGGCACTGAGGGCGTTGCAAAGTTGCAACATCTGAGGACCTCGCAGAGGCTCATTTATGACGTCATAGGTCAGTGACCTGACCTGACCTGAAAACGCAGTTGAGGTCAAAAGATCCATCTTGAATAAAAGATTAGGTATGCCAAGTTTCAGCTGTCTACCCTAAGCGAGTTTTAAGCTATCACGAAAAGCCCTATTAGGCGGCACCCGCCCCACCCCTTCTGGGCCGACGAGGGTTAATGTACTAGTTCATGTACATGTATGCGCAGATATAGTATCATCTCAGCTAAAATATATCTCTGATTCATGTTCGACACATTCTAGTGTTGTTACAAAAATTAACTCATTATATTTCCAATTTATTTGACTATTAACCCGCGCCCGGCTGGGGGTCCTGGATTTCCACGCCCTGCTGGGGGGGGGGGGGTGTTTGAACACCCCCCCCCCTTCTAACTCGGCTCCTGGGCCACGTAGCGATACGCGGAAAGCGGCGTTCGAAAGAGCGTCAAAAATAAAGAGGAAATCACTTCGGTCAATTTTTTGGTCAGGTCAAAGGTCAGGTCACCAGAGGTCATTGAAGGCAAAATTTCGCCGATTTCCAGGTCGAATGTCGACAATTTCCAAGAAGCCAACGCATAACTCGGGAACCAATAGAGCTACAGCGCCGCGGAAAAGCGCATTCGATAGCCCTATTAACGCCCTTTCTGAGTAATTTTCTCAGATTTGACCTAACGTCAACGGTTTTGCCTGCAGGGGGCAAAAACTGCAAAAATAGCCGATTTTTTCGGAAACAGTTTTTCTGCAATAACTTTTGACCCAAGCCTTGTACGAGCTTACTTTTACCAGCATCGTGTTCCTCTCGTCAAGACGCATCGAATGAACTATAACTTGACCTTGAAAGGTCAACTTGAAAATTTGACCTCAGGTCAAGGTCATGACCTGACCGGAAAGGGTCATGTTGCATATCAGTCGATCCGTATCGTCGAGCTGAACACATCTAAGGCGTTTTCATCGCTCTAGCATGCCTCTATCAAAAGTTATTTGCGAAAAACTGTTAGATACCATTCGTGACCTAAGATGACCTCAGGGCATAAACAGGGGTCACGGACACCATTTTCATGTGCAGTGTGTCTAAACCACTTGTAATTCAGTGTTTGGGAGTGTTTATAATGTCTTTCGTCCAAAAGAGGCGCATTTCAATTTTCTCCCATTGACTTATAATGGGGAGGTCGCAAAATTGACCTGACCTTAGGTCATCGATATAAAAATTCTGAGATATACATTTTGTACATGCTATTGCTCTTAGCAATCGCTGAAAGTTTCAAAGCGATCGGTCACTCGGTGTAGCTATGACAGACATTGAAACTTTTTATGAGGTGAGGTCACTTCAAGTGACCTGGTGACCTGACCTTGAATGACCTTGGTCTGAAATTTTTACAACATGTGTAGAATTGATGTATGATAAGGTGTACCAAAAACGGCGGCGCTCCGCGCCGCCGTTTTTGAGATATTCGCGAAAAACCACAAGGGGGGGTGTTCAAACACCCCCCCCCCCAGCAGGGCGCGGGTTAAGCCTGACGAATATTTATTTTTCAAAAAATAGGTGCTATCTCCAAAATGGAAATTTTTCAGATTTCGGGGACCACACCATCGGATTCCTCGCAAAATTTTGGTCCAGAAAACACTAAAATTGGAAATTGGTATTTTCAAAAGTTATTTACCGTCTGTTGGGGCAATGTGTACAGAGTACTTGCGTCTCACCTGATAACACAGTCGATGTCGTCATTTTTGGAGAGGAATGGCAGCGGGTTCATCTCGAGCGCCGGTGTGTCACCCTTAAACCGAGCGGGGTCAAACCTGCCGGAAGGTCACAGAAGGGTGGCAAATGGGGAAGGGCAGAGTGAGCATATGAAGATAAACTTACAACAACAAGGTCTAAGTAATATACCAATATACCCGATAGAGCCGCAGAGGTTACCGTACACAATGACGCAAGCTTGTGACTACCGGTCACGATGGCTACGTCTGCAAGTGTTATGCATTAAAGCGTGTGACACTCCATATTAATGACCAAATGTAAAATATAAAAAAATGAAACCATGTCGTCTGTGAGCGTAATTTGATCTAAGATACATAACCTCAGCGCGTATATTACCATTCCGCTAAATAAAACCATCGTCTTCCAAGCCACCCGACTGCCCCCCCCCCCCCCCCCGCCGACCCTTCCTCCTCCCTGCCGCATCGCTCACTTGTTGGGCTGTTTCCAGCCGTCTCCAGTGTGCGAGACACAGTAGGCGCTGATGATCGGGGTGTGCGCCGGGAGAGTGTGTCCCTCCACAGCCGCCGGAGTACCGTAGCAGCGAGCCGTCAGAGGCACCACAGAGCCGAGGCGCCACGACTCGCGGAGCACGCGGCCCACCAGGCTGAGAAAACGGGAGAACGGGAGGGGTCATACGTGGCAGTTCTGGGAAAAGCAGTGGAAATGCAAAACATTACGCGCAGCCAGACTATCCACACGACAATGCGTCCGTCATATGTGTGACCCGAGATACACGAAAGAGGAGCTTTCCAATGTGAAGGCAAGAAACACCTCGACATAATTTCAACAAAACCAGTAAACGACAACATTTTGGAAATGAATCTGATGATCCTATTCCTCGTAAATAAATTCCTGTCCTGCGGCCTGCCTGCACTAGGACAAAAATGCCAGCGCAGGTATTCCTCAACCCTCGCTCCCGCCCCCCGCAGCCTCAGCTCGGGAGTGCCGCGTCACTCATCACTCACCCGTCATCGGTTCTCTCTCCCGTCAGCTGAGCCACCACGTCATCCTGCACCGTCTGGTGGCGCGCCAGCTGCTGCAGCGTCCAGCACAGGCCGCTCGAGAGCGTCTCGCAGAAGAACAGGAACAGGGCCAGCAGGTCACTGACCGGAGCGTCCGAGTCACCGGCGGCGCCGCGGCCGGCCTGCGTGGACAGCGACACCCACTCCACGAGGGAGACCTGCCCGCGGGCCGGGGAGCCGTCACTGGGCGGGAGGGATAACCGCTACGGTAGATACAGTTCTCAGCGTTCTACTGACACATGAATCGGCACCTATAGTTCCTACACAGCTGCCAGTATTGTCACTAACTGCCCCGCTCACATAACAGCGGTTAGTACTAACTGTCCATACTTCACGACTTTTGTTTGTTTATTGAGGCTTTATCGCGTGCCAAATGCTAATGCCATTTTGCGCCCATCATACTTCACAACTCGAGCAGTCCAACTGCCATACCATTAATACCCTTGTCACTACAGAGCCCTGATCCGGCATCCCTTCCCGCACCCTCCGCTCTCACCGTCGATTTGTTCTCCTTGCGGTGTTTGCGCACGATGGCGCCGGCCACGTCGCGCAGAGCGGCCGCCGCCTCTCTCATGTGATCCTGTTGGCTCTCGTACAGCTGACGGCCGCACGCCTCGCTCGTCACCTCAGCCGTCACCTGATTGGCGCAGAGCACGGTGACGTCACCGATGGTCGGCGTTTAATTAGTGCAAATTGCGATGATGCAGAACAAGATGGCAATGGTGGGTTATTTACATCGTTGAGATATAGAAAATTTTAATAAGTAAGGGCAGAATATGCACAATCTTGGAGAGTTGGTGGCTGTTTTCTACACAACTCATACCTACAATAATCAACAGATAAGATGCCACAAGGCACAACCGTGACGTATATCGACATAAAACCTATATTCCCTTCCAATCCCCATCTGTCACATAATGTGCGAGCTCGTACGTACAATCTCATACTCCTGTGCGAAGTTGAGCATGCTCTGTTCGTCGTCCATATGGTGTCCGAAGCAGCAGCGGGCCATGACGTGCAGAGCCAGAGCCGTGGTGTACTGCTGGAGTGAGATGTGCTCTCCGGTCGACAGGGAGCGCAGCTTCTCCGATACCCGGCCGGCCGCCTGGTGTGGCGCAGGGGCGCGTCAGTGGAGCTCGACAAGGCCGCCTGGTTTGAGGATGACTGGCATAAAGGGACAGGCAGGATGACAGTGGCATAGAGAAAACTGATAAAAAGCTTTGTGGAGTCTCGTTGGTACACACTTGAATATTAGGGATTACGTGGCTCAATTGGTCACATTATTATCCATAAAACTCAAACTCTGATTCGAAACTCAATTGTTTTTCTGCAAAACTCAAATACTTATTCAAAATCGCACCAAACAAGTCCAATTTGCGTTCGTTTCACCACTCATCCTCATTCCTACATTAACCCCTCCCCTCCCTGGACACCCCCCCCCCTCCCCCCTGCCCTCACCTCCGCGGCGGCCTCTCGGTAGACGGCGCGGCACTCTTCGCTGAAACCCTGCTGGTAGAGCCGCCAGCGGCGGGCCGTCTCAGCGGCGTCTGCCCAGACGATACTCTCCCGGCCCAGCAGCGGCCGCAGGAACTCGAGGTACATGTCTGGCCGCTGGGCGGCGCCACTGTGCTGCTCCAGTAGCGCCGCCGAGCCAAAACTGATGACCAGCTGCGACCCGAGGTGGAACGAGACCAGCGGTCCGTACTGGGCATGCAGCTCGCGCAGGTACTCGCCCAGACCGCCGGCCAGCTCCAGGTCCGTCAGGTTACCATCGCTGGTGGAGGGACATAGTGTTACCATCGCTGGTGGAGGGACATCGAGTGTTACCACCGCTGCGTGCCGCGTGGAGGGACATCGAGTGTTACCATCGCTGGTGGAGGGATATCGATTGTTACCATCGCTGGTGGAGGGACATAGAGTGTTACCATCGCTGGTGGAGGGGCATAGTGTTACCATCGCTGGTGGAGGGACATTGAGTGTTACCATTCCTGGTGGGGGGACATCGAGTGTTACCACTTACCATCACTGGTGGAGGGACATAGAGTATTACCATCGCTGGTGGAGGGGCATAGTGTTACCATCGCTGGTGGAGGGAGATAGAGTGTTACCATCGCTGGTGGAGGGATATCGAGTGTTACCATCGCTGGTGGAAGGACATAGTGTAACCATCACTGGTGGAGGGATATCGAGTGTTACCATCGCTGGTGGAGGGATATCGAGTGTTACCATCGCTGGTGGAGGGACATAGAGTGTTACATGTAGAGTGTTCTTGGTGGAGGGAGGGACATAGAAGAGTGTTACCATCGCTGGTGGAGGGACATAGAGTGTTACCATCGCTGGTGGAAGGAACAGCTGGTGTTACCATCGCTGATAGGAAAGCAGATAAGTAATTAACATTGCTGGTGAGTGGTATAAGAACACTCAGACACTAAACAGGGGTTTAGACATTGCTAAAAAGAAGGAATGTGGTGTTTTTAACATCCAAAGAGAAAAACTACCATCTGAAAAGAGACAACTCCATGAAACATATGGGGTGTGAACATCATTGACAAAAAAGAAATGAAGCGTTTTGACTAAATCAAAAGAAACATGAACAGGGATGGGTGTAGGCCATAGACTACTTAGACATGGGAAAGCTGACAGGTTAACCATTAATAAGTCAGCAACTCCTTTGTCTCCACTCTGAGGTATCATGACTAGGAAGCTGTTCATTGGTCTCAAGAGTTGAAACTTGCCTGGAACTTGATGGAGGAGGCCCTGGCACTGTAGTATCCCGAGTGGCACTCTGGAAAAAATCAGCACTTTCTCAGAAAAAAACAAACAGTGGTACCATTTGAAAGCATGAGTCCTGGACTCCTGATACAGTACAATTGCTTATGAGGTAGGGTGCTTTATACTGATATTTTTTCACATAATAATCACTCGAACTGCACAACAAAAGTGCATTGCACTTTTATTCACTGCACAAGAGGTTCCAGTTTCAGAAGGGGTACCTTTAGTCTAAATTTGTTACCTTTAAACTTAACCCATGCTTAAGTACCTAAAAGGTCATGTGGTATGGATAATTTCTCTTCACCCTTGACTGAATAGTTTTGGACAACTACCTAAGAGTTCCTCAATCCTCACTGCCCACAAATTGGACTCTGTATTACAATTGTCATGATTGTGATGGCCATTAACAAGAATGCACTTACTGGGTAAATATATAAAATTACAAACAGAAGAAAAGTTATAAACACAACTGCAAAGATCACCAATGCAATCAGCATCTTTCCTTGCAAGTATCTGAAAAAACAGGCACAAATCAGCAGGCTATAAAGAATAAACATAACAGTCAGCCAGTAAGACATCAAATTAGGACAAGAGTAGCACTGCTGCTGAACACCACAACTGTTATAGGCAGAGTTGGAATTCCAAAAAACTCATCAACATTGCATTGCAATATTGATTATTGATATAATTGGCATGTAACAAAATTGCAGTGGAATCAGAAATCAGAATCACAGTGAATCAAGTTTTGACAGACTTAAGGACCGGCTTAAATAAAAATGCAACATTAAAATGCAAAATCTTAAAACCAAAATTGGTGGGTAGATAAGTACCTATCATGAGAGACATCAGACACCTTCAACAAATCAAATGTTCAAAAAGGTGTGGCATATGACACATGACATTTACCGACATGAAAGCCACGGGCAAAGCAAAATCATGAAATGCAAGCATTCACCACTATTAAACGGTATGATTAAATATTAATTTCATTCCTTAGGTACTGGTACTAAGAACTGCAACTATCAACTGTAGGGGCACAGGTGAAATAAATAAGCCTGAAAAGTGGGTACCAAAATAATATACCTGTTGTTGCTTGGGGATACTGCTGGTGTTTTGGGTTAGGGCGTGTAGCAGCAATTGTTGCTCTTGCGTCCAACAATAATATCCCTATAGAATCGACCAAGGCTTTGGGCCTGTTCCAGCGCCTCCAGAAACCTCCAGAAACCTCCAGAAAGCTCTAGAATCCTCCAGAGAGCGTTCCAGCGCCTCCAGAAAGCTCCAGAAAGCTCTCGCCAAAGCTCCAGAAACCTCCAGTAGCCTCCAGAGAGTTGGGAGGTCCAAATTTCTCTGGAGGCTCTGGTCTACAATTATGGCGCACATGTGACAATCACGAATGTAAACAAAGGACTTTTGACTGATTATTTTACAACTTGAATGAAAAGAAAATTACATTGCTATAATTTTGTTAATCTTTCGTAATAAAATTGAAAACAAATTTTGCGTTTCAAGAGAGATCAATCGTCATTCTTTTGGTAGGGGAAGCCGGGGGAAGCCCGGCATAGTAAGCTCTTTTTCATTTTTATTACATACCATACGTGCTGTATAAAATGTCGATATCCTGTTAGCTAGCTAAGTTCATTGGCCGTGTTTTCCCAAAAATTCGGTTTCGTAGAATAAGTATAAGGTTGAGAAAATCGAATTTTAAAAGTGTTGATTTTTCTGGGGTAAGCCCGGCATAGGGGTAACGCCGGCCACCTCCCCAGCGCTTTACAACGAGTTGATGAAACCATTATGTGTCTTCCAAATATTAACGGAAAATGAAATATTAAGGTACTGGTTAGCTCTGGACAGCTTAGAGTTTATGTAACTACTGGTATTTTAGCTAGCGTCTACCACATATACAGTACAGGTCGATGAAAGTCGTGATGCAAAATTGACAAAAAATGTGCATTTAAAAATTCCTTAAAATTTATTTTTCTTTTTACCTTAATGCATCATATTGCATATCATTCGACTCGGCTGATGAAGAAGAACACAACGACACCATTGTTGAAGCTCTAGCTTTATTGTCTGTCGCGTTATCTGCAAAAACGTAGTTTGACCCTAGTTGACCTTAAGTGACATGACTGGCTTTGTCTATGATAACATGTTTATTTTCGAAATTTATCTTTGATCTAGGTGTAAACCAAACCTGCTCAGTACCTATTATCTCATGGAAAACAGTGGTTTAGTGGCATTGCTCTCGGTTGGGGGTAAGCTTGGCCACTCGCCCGGGGTTACCCCAATGTGCTAATTTTTATTTTAGAACAGCGATATTCGAAAAAATGTCATACTTAGGCCAGCCTGCCTCGTCACCCCTCACTACAAACACTTAAACGGTCCTTGCATAACATTCGTATAAATATTAGTACTGTATGGTATAACATTAACAGTGAAACGTATCTCACTTTTTAGCTAAAAACCCTTAAAATATCATTTTTGCACTATAACTTTAACAATATGCAATTTTTGTTAGCCTAAACTTTTTTGCTGGCGTTACCTTAGCTGCCACGCTGAAAGGACAAACAGTTGAGCATTTTATTGTGAATAATTTAGCCGGAAACGGGGTGGCCGGGCTTCCCCCGCGCCCGGGCTTCCCCCGGCTTCCCCTATATGTGATGCCAATCTCCAGAAATCTCCAGATTGCGTTCCAGCGCCTCCAGTGAAACCTCTGGTAGAGCCTCCAGTCAAGAATTTTTACTGGAGGCGCTGGAACAGGCCCTTTATAAACCTGATATCAATATAACCCACATAGGTCGAGACACATCAATTAACAACACAGGATAATTGGTATATTATTGAGACAACACCCACCACAATAACAACGGATTCTATAGATGGGATAGATGGCCTTACAACGGATTATGTTTGGCTGAAATGCAAAAATGTAAAATATTTGAAGAATGTTGACGTCATCAATCTTTAGCTGTCTTCTTCAAGAAAAAGAAACTGCAAACAATTTAAAGCCATTTATTATTTAAATGTTTGTCCTAAGTCTATTCTAGAAGGCAAATTTTGTGAATGTTTTTTGGTGTTGAGCTCTCAAAAACATCAAAAAGCTTACGATTATCGTACAGGTGATTAGTCTTGTGACGTACAAGCTATTCCTCATCAGAAGCTTATCGTTGATGCTTGAATGGCGCCATTCAAAGCGCCATTTATCGTAGCAAATGTTCGGGGCCGGCGGCTGCTGGATTTTTCGAATCATAGTTGAATATTTTGTTGGGTTTTGATTTCATAAATCGTCCGTCATTTATCGATTGAATTACTGTTGGGAGAGCATATTGTTTTGGTGCATATTATTTTATTTATTCTTTCGGTGCATATTTTGGTGCCTTTGGTCGCTTTTTTATAGCCGCGCTAGTTCCAGTCCTAAGGGCTATTCACGCTAAAAGTTAAAGAACGCTATTCCATTTTACATCAGTCCCTAGATACCTACCTGACATCACTTATATTAATATTTCAATTTATTCCCATTTTTCTCATTCACCATTACAGTTCAGATCTAAGCCATGCTCTCAAGCATAGTCAAAACATTAAAAAGTTATGTATTTTCAACAACAGAGCAAATAGTTGCTGGGAAGAGAGGCAGGTAGGTGTTTTTTTTTTTTGTCAAGCTGATGCCTAACTTTCAGACTGTTGATATTTGTCATCATTATTTGGCTTAAAATCATATAATATCCTTTTGTCAATATTTGTTTTCCCTAGTGGGTGTGGGCTGGTGCATATTTGCCACCATAGGAAAGGTTAGTTAGCATCACTTTGTAAACTGTGTTGCCATGGTATTGTTTCACTAATGCTGTGACTGCTGCCAGCACATTTTGTGAGCTGATTTCATAGGCTGTAGTCAAACAGCTCAATATTGGAGTGTCCGAGTTAAAGTTTGGGTATCAGTAACCCTGGCGTCACCGGTAGAGTTTTTGTTCAAGGTTAAGGTTTCCTGTATTAGGCCGCCGGGCCAGGCCGAAGCATGCTGTGACGTCACTGGGTAGGAGAAGACCTACCACGCTATCAGTATCGGCTGAGACTCAGATAGACTCAGACCGACTCAGGCACATTCAAACTGACTCGACCGACTCAAACCGATTCAGATCGACTCAGACCGACTCAGAACAATTCAAACTGACTCAGACCGACTCACTGACTTAAATCTATTCTGATCGACTGGGACGGACTCAGAACGACTCAGGCAGACTCAAACCGACTCAGGCAGATTCAAGCTCACTCGACCGACTCAAACCGACTCAGGCAGATTCAAGCTCACTCGACCGACTCAAACCGATTCAGATCGACTCAGACCGACTCAACCGACTCAAATCGATTCCGATCGACTCAAATCGATTCCGATCGACTCAAATCGATTCCGATCGACTTAGGCTCAGAACGACTCAGAGAGACTCAGGCAGACTCAAACCGACTCAGGCAGACTCAGACCGATTCAGATCAACTCAGACTGACTCAGGCCGACTCAACCGACTCAAATCGATTCCGATTGACTCAGACAGACTCGGAACGACTCAAACACTCAGGCAGACTCGAACTGACTCGACCGACTCAAACCGATTCAGATCGACTCAGACTGACTCAGCTAGACTCAGAACGACTCAAACTGACTCAGACCGAATCAACCGACTCAAATCGATTCTGATCGACTCAGACAGACTCAGGCAGACTTAAACCGACTCAACCGACTCAAACCGATTTAGACCGACTCAGACTGAGACAGACCCATCGGTTTGACCTGAATCATCAGACCTGAATCGGTTTGAGTCGGTCGAGTCAGTTTAAGTGTTCCTGAGTCGGTTTGAGTCTGTCTGAGGCTGTCTGAGACGTTCTGAGTTTGTCTGAATCGGTCTGAGTCTGCCTGAGTCGGTTTGAGTCCGCCTGAGCCGGTTTGAGTCTGCATTAGTCTGTCTGAGTCGTTATGGGTCTGTCTGAGTCGATCGGAATCGATTTGAGTCGGTTGAGTTGGTCTGAGTCAGTTTGAGTTGTTCTGAGTCTATCTGAGTCGGTCTGAGTCTACTTGAGTCGGTTTGAGTCTGCCTGAGTCGGTTTGAGTCTGCCTGAGTCTGTCTGAGTCGTTCTGAGTCTGTCTGAGTCGATCGGAACGATTTGAGTCGGTTGAGTCGTTCTGGGTCAGTTTGAGTCGTTCTGAGTCTATCTGAGTCGGTCTGAGTCGATCTGAATCGGTCTGAGTCTGTCTGAGTCGATCGGAATCGATTTGAGTCGATCGATTTGAGTCGGTTGAGTCGGTCTGAGTTAGTTTGAGTCAGTCTGAGTCGATCTGAATCGGTTTGAGTCGGTCGAGTCGGTTTGAGTCTGCCTGAGTCGTTCTTTGTGTCATCTTCTCTGACCCAGTGGCGTCACAGCATGCTTCGGCCTGGCACGGCGGCCTAATACAGGAAACCTTAACCTTGAACGAAAACGCTACCGGTGCCGCCAGGGTTACCGATACCAAAGTTTGTTGATGTCCCTATGGAACTATAATCCATGGTAAATGTGTAGATAAAGTACAGTGAAGGTAAAAAAACAATCTAACCTGACCTAACCTAACCTACTGGATGACAACCTTGAACCTACCAACCTACAACCTACAATATACCAACCTACAACCTGGCAACCTGGAATTTAGCATGCATTGCATAGCCCATGTCAGTTTTGGCAGGCTGATATTTTTTATGTCAGCAGTTACATTTTTCAATTGGCTGGTCAAACTTGTAGGGGCTTAAAGGTCTTTAAACAGTCACTGCAGCTTCTTTCACATTTTTTCTTCTGTCTGACTTTTTCTGTTGGCTTTCCTGGCCTTTGATCCTTCAGTGCTCTCTCCTCATTGGCAACTGGAGATGTCTGTCCCAATCTTCCTGTCCACAGTTGTAGTTTCTAACTCCGATCTTTCGCTAGCTGCTTGATCTTTCCTTTGCTTGGTGCCCTGCTAAAAATGACTCACAGTTGGCATTTGTGTTTTAAAGGGACGACAGTGATGACTCTGAACCGGGCGAGTTGGCTAAGCGGCTGTGCACCATGACAGAGAGGAACATGTCAGCCAGACACCGTTCGGAAGCCACC